AGGTTAGGTAACTGTTGCAGTGGATTAATTTTAGGGAGTTAGATTTAGTCACAGACTTGCAAAACCTGGAGACCAAATTGGAAACAGAGTTCCTGCTGGCAAATGCCACAGGATCAGGTCATGTTCTTGTCCCCTGCATTGGTTGACTTAACAGCAGGGTAAAAGCCTCACTTGCAAAAGAGGAGTGGCTCCTTAGTCTCAGATGCTGTAAGTTCTTACATCTGAAACATAAAACAATGTTTTATGAAAATAAATAAAGTGTAGTAAGTAAATAATTGTCAGGAAGATGCTTGGCTTCTCATCCTCAGAGATGCTATTTGTAGCGTCTCAAGGGGTGCTTATTTTTCATTAAGATTGTTAATCAGGTGATACTGTTGCAAATCACAGAGGGGCTGAATCTTCACAGCAGAACATTCGTGACATGACTGCAGATGCCATCAGCTGTGATTGCTGAGCCTAAATGGTCCTTGTGTGCAGGAGCATCTCTTTCTTCATGGCATAGTCTCGTTCTTAGGTGAAGGTGACCCAAAGCAGAAGGCTTGAGAAGGAAGATGCCCAGGGACCTGGTGGAGTCACCATCCCTGGAGGTATTTAAAAGATGTGTAGATGTGGCACTTAAGGGCATGGTTTAGTGTTGGACTCGGCAGTGTTAGGTTCATGGTTGGACCAGATGATCTTAAAGGTCCTTTCTAACCTAAATGATTCTGTGAACTGACAGCTCAGCTGTAAGTGAGGACACTGGCTACACCTCTTGTTTCCCATTTGCATGTGTGAGGCAGCATCCATACCTCCCTGTGCTAATATCAAAAGGTGAGGGTTGATACCACGGAAATATTCCTATTCCATTCTTGCAAGTCAAGTGATTTCATGGTTACGTGCAGTTAGTAAGGAGTGGGGTCGGCTAGTGATCTGAGCTTGCTCTTATTTTAATGAGCAACAACTCACAAGTAATTCCCTTGATTTTTAATGGGATTAATTGCATGATCATTTGCTGACCACTGTAAGCAAGTCATAATGTGGACCAACAAGGCTTATAGCAGACCTAAGTGAGTTCAGCACAGAAGCAAAAGGAAGTTGTTTGGAGCAGAAGGCAGGACTCCATGCAGAACTTAGGCAGGAATGCTGTTGACAAACCCAGAACAGTTTGGAAAGACAAAGCCTGGGGAGGTGATTTTTGCAGTGAGTTATTTGTGAATGTGTATCTGTTGTGGCAGCAGCAGGAGGTGGGATGTGTTTGTCCAGCCTGACCCCAGACATGCCGCCCAAATGGACGGGAAGCTCACTTCCCGGTTTCCATACACCCTCCCTGTTTCCAAACGAATCCCCCACCCTGTGACACAGTGACATAGTAATGGATTTCTTTCTGCTCATCACACTGGTCATACAACTGGAGGCTTTCCTGTGGTGGGATTCACGTGCTTGTAAGCAGATGAACCGAGTATGAGCTTCCCCAGGTTTGCCTAAATGTATTGCCCACTTGTGATTTCTTGCCTGCCCAAAGCCAGCTGCAGCCCTAGCTCCATCCTCTAGGGCTGTGCATCCAGACTTTCCTTCTTTCCTTTCATGCTGGGATGGTTTTACCCTAGGTGATGGGATGACTCTCTCAATTAGCAAATCTTGTCCTTAATGTAATTGTCATATTCAACATGTAAGCAACAACTTGTTGAGACTGCCCGTGTCTGAACAGAATAACTTGGGGCATTAAATGAGGGATTTTTTTTTCCATCTATCATACATATATTTGCAATAATAACAATAATAATTTCTGCTAATGGAAAAGCATTTGCCACAGACTAAGGAGTTTTTGACTTTCAGATGCTCTGCAGACATCTAATTAAGCAAACTGAAAATCTGCTTTTTGCTCTTTGGCTGTTAATCATCCGTGTAGGGAAAGTGCTGTGACTACCAGGAGCAGCTTTTATGATTCAGCCCTTATCTACATCCATTCCTGGCTGCTCTGTTTATCTCTGTGGTTAGTGTCTCCTCTTATCCAAGCTAGGCTGAGTGGGGCTTAGGATATCCCATCAGCTCTGGGAGATTTCAGATGTTTCATTCAGACCTATTGCTGTTTTTTTCTCCTCCTCTGCATCTATCTCTTCCTCATTTTCTGCTTTGCATCCTTCTCTGTGGAAGAGAGGATGCAGAATCCTGCTTTTCTAGGATTTAGATCTAACTTGCACTGGCTTTGAATGTCAAAACTGGGTGCAGGAAAGTGCTGAGGAAGGCTCCATGCTTCTGCTGCTCTTTGTTTGGCTTTAACATCGTGAGAGGTTTCCTGCTCTGCAAAGTTGAAGGGCAGTCATCACATTCCAGTCTGTGTTGCAGGTTCTCCCTGCCATTAGTACTCATCTGTATAGACGCTGTCATGCTGGCAGTGCTTTTTTAGGTGTTAATGAGAACAGCCAGACATAGAGGCAGGGGTTTAATTGCTGGGCCTCAGTTATGTCCTTCCTCTGATCCTTTTTAGGATCTGTTGGGTTTCCCATAGCACACCTGAAACTGAGCCCATGGTTTCCTTCAAAACATCCAGCACAGCTGCCCCAAACCAGCCTGTCTCTTGCTGGGCAGCAGAAATGCCAAGCCCAACTTGTTGATCCATGGGCTATTCCACAAGCCAGCAGCAAGCGTTCTCTGGAGTCAGGGACTTGAAGATGGACTATCACACTCCTCCATGGGTACCCAACATTGCATGGCCTTTTAGAGAAGCAGCAACTTTACACCTTGTCTTCAGTTTTGCACAAACATGTGCATGTTGCCCACTGGAATATTGTCTTATATATCAAATATGAGAAATCTTCCGGGACTTGGCACTGGGACAGGCTGTATCTCCATCAGTTGCATTGGTGACCTCCGGAGTGCCTCTGCCTCCCCCCAGCTCCCTGACATCCAGACCCTCCCAGCCAGAGGCAAGAGCTGGGGTGGAAAGTGTAATCTAGGAAAACTTAGCCAAACTCTTCCAGCTGCAGTTTATTGTATCTATTTTGCTGATATCCACCCTTTAGATAAATAGCACTAAGTCATACACGTTGTGACTCTCTTGATGTGGTTAAAAAGGCTTGTATTAGCCAAGCTAATCTAACTCCAAGAATAACCATGGGAATTTGACTGTATCGGTTCCAAACTTGAATTAGTCACTGTGTAGTAAAGTGAGAATTGCCTTCCTGGCTAAAAGTGTAGCAACAGCAAAACTTCAAGTCGATCGGTGGGGATTCCTTCCCCCTCTTTTTTTCTTTTCCCTTTGAACAACGCTCCTGCCCATGCCTGACCTCAGGCACCCGGAGCTCTACCTCCGAGAAAACAAATTTTCCCATTTTCAATAAAACCCATGTCTCTGTTGGCAGAAAAGTGAGTTAGGTAACAATCCGCAAAGCTACGCTCTATTTATTTACCAGGCTGACTCCCTGATGGGGAAACGTGGGATCTTTTAACTTGTTCTGCTGCACAGATGTTCCTTCTACTCCTGAGCTTCCTCTTGATCTTCGGTTTGCTGTAACATATGGTGAAAACACTGGAGATGCTGCGGTGTGGTTGAAGAGAAGGATCCTGTGTGCTTAAAACAAAAACAGTAAAAAAAACCCCTGTTTTTTTCCCCATGTTAGCACAAACGTATTTTTTAAAGGAAATCTGTTGAGCTGGCAAAACCTCTGTTAACTCACACACCCTCACTGCTGGACACGTAGCAATTATAAGCCCCCACACCTGCAGCTTTAGCTGCCCTTTTAGGTGTTTGTATTGAGCTGTAGATCCAGTTCAGGTGAGGAGATAGGGATCCTGCAAGGTCAAGTAACAGGACTGCTTGCTTTCCTTCCTAACCCTGCACAGAGGGCCTGTGGACTGTGGGTTGACAGGCATCTCTCCTGGACTATTGGAAACGAGTCACTGGGATGGCAAGAGATTTGGAGCTCCCCCAGCACAAGGGAGCTGGGGCTGCTGCATAGCATCAGCAGGGGCATAGAACATTGCATCATACATCTGAAATATGGGAGAAAATTAAATAGAATATGAAGATTTGAGTATTTATCTTGGGCTCATTTAGGAACATCAGGTCAGCATGCTGCTGCTTCTCTAGGCTTGCTTCCATAGAAAGTCACTGGTGGTCAGCAGGCTGCTCCACTGTGCAAGCTGACCATAAGCTATCGATATCCCTTTGAGTTCCTCAGGTTGAAGGCTAATTGCACTTCTGTGGTACAACAGAATTCTGAGCCTAGTCAGCCTTAGGGATGTGTTAGAAACAGACGGCTGCAGTGGACAGGGTTTAGGAGCTGGTGGGGTAAGATCTTGGCTGATGTGGGCAAAACTCTGTCTATAACCATGTGCCAAAGTCTGTTTGTCACGAGCTGATAGCACACCCACCTTGAGCTTTGCTTTCTGGCCATTCCTATTGGTAGCGTTCTCTGGGATGCTCTGCTCTCCTTCTTCCTCCCTGCTTCCTTTCTCTGCTGCTGTCTCCGTGTAGGGACTGCAGTGGAAGATCCTTCCAAAGCTCCCATCTCCCTCCCTGGGAAAGCAGGAGTGCTCTGATGGACCAGGGCAGTGGGCAGTGCCTTGCCAGTGAGAGGGCAGAGCAGGTATTTTATTAAACACACATTAATCCATCTGCTTGGACAGCATGTTTAGCCAGGTGAGTGGCCTGTCAAACGGACAGGTGAAAACTGTGTCTCCACCAATGCGGGCAGGCTGTGGATTAGAGGCAAGGCGTGTGTTCTGTAACGAAGAATGAGAGCCTAATTTTAGAACAGCGGTGAGGCCAGGCTCGGATGTCTGCCTGGGCCCTGTCCCAGCTCCTCTGTGCTGCCAGGAACTTGCCCTTCCTTTCTTTGGAGTGAACTGTATCGTGCCTTTTAATGTACAGGCTCCCCTGCAACGAGGCAGAGTGTTTCCTGCAGTTGCTTTGCTTTGCTAATCATCTTTTGAACCACACACAGACCAAGAGATCCCCTGGTCCCTACACAGCCAGTCCATGTTTTCCCCCTAAGACCTTTCCTCTTTTTCCTTTGCAGATGCAGCTTCTGGACAAGTTCCCTATTGAAGGAGGCCAGAAAGATCCCAAGCAAAGGATCATCCCTTTCCTACCAGGTAATGCTGTGGGGAAGGCCTTAAATAAGATGTGTGAGAGCAGTTGGGGACTGCAGTTCCCCAACCACAGTCTCTAGTACTTTTTGTGACCACTCTTACAAATGCCTTTTCCCTGGGAGCTTGTATATAAAGCCTTGTGATACCAGACCTCCATCTCCTCCTAAAATAACTGGCATGGTGTTTAGGGCTCCCAGGGGATCTTGCATCAGCTGTTGAGGTTCAGGTTGGTTCCTGCCCTGCCACACAAAGGGATTCAATGGCTTCTGGGGGGCTGAGCCTGTGGGGTGGCAGGCTGGCAGCCCCCCAGTCTGAGCTTGGGCTGCCAATTCAAGGCCACTGGAGACCAGAGACACCATCGGTTTTGTTTCTTAATGCTGTGGCTCTGCAGGTATTGTTACTGTACAATAAGGAATGAATAATCAGAGTTGCCACTGGGTTATAAAGGAAACTGTAAGAAGGTTAAATGCAAACAGGGATTTCTGCAGTGCTGGCCAGAAAGATAAGTAAACATCTCTTTGGCCTGAGCCACTGTCTCTCTGACAGCTTTCAGAGGGGGCCTGGACATGATGGATATCCTCTCCTCAGGGTAACGGCACACACTTCCACACAGCTTCTTCCAGCAGTGACTGCAGGGATGGCATGGGGGAGATGAGCCAGACCACAGCGTGCTCTTGGAAATGCACACTCAGGCCAGCTCGCTATTGTCTGACTGCACGGTTCTGGCTGTTGGTTTGAAGTTTGGCTCGCTATGCTGCCTGCCAGAATAAGTGGAGTATTTTCAGCCTCTGAAAAGGTTCCTTCTGCCTTTAACTATAAAAAGGAGATCCCAGCTCTTCCCCAAAGGTCTGTAAAGAGAAGCTGGGATGGGAGGGCTTAGTCGTCTTCAGGAGCGTGCTGCAGTCCCCAACACTGTTTGCAAGCGGAGCAGCTGCTCCAGATGTGTGTTGAACACAGCTCTAGGGCTAGCAGGGGAGCAGGGACTTGGAAAGCAGCAGCACAGATACATGACACAAGCATTGGAGCCGCAGTAGAGCAGCCTAGCAGCTTCCACAAGCCTTCTGGAAGGCAGCCCCAGGACTGGGGTTTGCTCTCTGCAGTGCTCTATGCTGCATCCAGACTCTCTGCAGACAGGGAGACGTGGTGTTGGCCTCCATTTCCAATCTGGCATGAGGAGAGTGGTGCAAGCATAAACTCTCTTTCTAGTTGTGCCACCAACAAACTCACAGACACGTCACTTTGTGAAACCTCTGTGTGATGAGGATGGATAGTGCTGGTCTGCCTTTCTTCCTGGAAAGCATTCTGAGATTCTTGAAAAGCATCATACAGGGGTACAGACAGCTTTAGGTAAGGTGCTGTAGGAACATCTCTGTCTGCAGGTGATGGTTGTTCCTTCTGGATTGACCATTGATGGCCCATTTCTTTTACTTTGTCCTAGAAAAAGCGCTGGCTGAATGCAAGTGACTGATGCTCAGCCTGCGTGCAGTTCTTAGTGATGGATGTCCTGATACATGGGTGGGTGGTACTTGCAGAGGATGACATACATCCCATATGCCCATTACAACACTTCCTACCCCTCCCACCCTCCAACAGCACGAGGGAGGTGGCACTGTTGCATATCCGTGAGGGGAAGAATTATATCTGGAAAACATTTGGATTGACTTAGCATCCCAAAGAAAGAAGCTGCCAGATGAGAATAGACCTCAGCTGTATTTAATTTAGGATTTTTGTGATATACGTTCTACTTTTGATATTGAATCTGTGCCTCTCTCTTGGTGAACCACTGAAAAGCCCATGTTGCTTTACCCGGGAACAAGGTGACTCAGCTGAATGTCAAACAATGTCAAAGTCTGTTAAACAAACTAGCTGCCATAATTAGAATCCGCATGGCATTTCTGCAGCTGGAACCGTGGATCCCTGAAATGAATGCCTGGCTATAGGCTGAGAATTAAAAACCAGCAGGGCAGATGTTTGTACTTAAATCCTACTTTTATGAAAATGTTATGATTTTGCTTGCCTGATTCAGCCAAGCTGGAGTGACTCTGTGTGCTGGGTTCTGAGTGCCTGGGCTTTGCCTGTGCCACTTTCAGGCTAGGGCAATTTTCCCTCATCAGGTCTGGTTTAGGAAGCTGACTGATGCCAGCCTGTGTCTCCTGCTTGTTGGCAATGCTGTGGTGCTCTCCTGAAATGAAAGCATGCACAGTCAGCTGTGCATCTGGAGCAAGAGGCTGGCCTGTCCAGATCCAGTCATGCTATGTCTCAGCTTACTCCGTACAAACCAGGGATGGTGGTGCATGCATGATTTATGATGAAGGATCCCACTGCCCTGTTCTGCCCCCAGGTGTACATCTCTCTTCCTCCCACTGTATGCACAGATCATAAATCCCCTGGGTACTAGAAAGTGGTTTGGTGTAGGTTTCGTCCCACTCAGGTGCAGATGGCTGCTGCTTTTCTGTCCTGTTACCTATTGGCTGTGATTTTTGCTTTACTCACAGATGATAGCCCCCTTTGCACTTACTGCTGCTGGTTTCAGGTGGTTTTATGGTTGCAAACTACTGGGCAAGGTGCCTCCCTGTTGGGTCAATCAAGCCTAAGTATTTGACTGTGTTGGAAACCTTTTACCTGTGAAAACCAAGGGGAGTGTAACAGAGTTCAGTGCCTTGCAAGGAGAGACCATTCTGGGTTCAACAGCAGGAAAGCACAGTTTTTCTTTCCTCTAGATACCTTTATCTTATCTTTAGCCATTTCTTTTCCCCGCTTCCCTCTTACACAAGTACGGACTCTACAGCTTTCAGTGCCATGAAGAGGAACGAGGAAATAAGCAGTGCCAGATAATCCTGTAAAAGATATGCTGTGGATAACTTTGTAGTTTTGCTTACCTTTCTGAGGGTCAATCCCCTGCCTTCAAATTTTCTGCGAACTTCTTTTCCTTTTCCATTCCAAGAAGGCAAACCGGATATTTTTCCTCCTCTTTCCTCATTTTATCTTTTTTCCCCATGAGTTTTCCCTTCTTCTTTCTGATTTCTCTTTTGACTGTTGGAAAAGTTTGCATCAGAGAAGGTGAGGCAGAAGAAAACCATATAAGAAACCATGTTTGTGGGGTGGCCAGAGAGCATTTTTGTAGCTGGTGGTATGAAATTTTGAAGGTTTGAAGGATGGAGGGAGACCGTGGGAGAGTTAGAACAAAATTGGCTGCAAAGCCGCCTTTCTAAACTAGAGATGGCTTGTCACTGTAAGAAGACACGGATGAAAATGCTGTTTGGCTGTACCAGTGTGGCTTTTGGTTGAGCCCATTTGCAATGCACTGATTTCTCCATCACCTCTCCTGCTGCACAGCTGAAGAGCAACCTTTGGAGTGTGGGTTTGAAGCTTTGCTCCCTCCTTGTCAATACTTCAGTATCTGCATCAACAGAGAGAAGAGGTTATAGATTTGCATTCCCTGTTTCAGGAATGTTGGCGGTGATTGATGAAGGAGCTTCAGCTGGAAGGAAAAGGCTGGTCTGCTGAGCTTCTGGAGGACAGGGTGGCAAATACAAATGGCAGAGACAGGGTGATGCAGCTCTGGGATTAACAGTTCTGCAGTGGTTGACCCAGGACTCAAGGGCTTGCATTGTTTTTCATTCCTTTTGGCACTAAGTGGAAGAGCCATCTGGAGACAAAGCTGAAGTTGGAGGGGTGTCAGCTCTTCTTGCTCCTCTGTGTCTTCCAAAGTGTAGCCTTGGAGAAAACACACTGCACAGCATGAAATCCTCCCATTGTGCTGGCTACTGGGCTGCAGATCGCTGCTGTAGAGAGGGTCTTGGGCTTTCCATGGCACAGGCGGCTGGGCATAGATGATGACAGCCCCTGCACTTTCTACCCAGATTCCAGCTTGGTCCTTGCCTGGACTTCAAACGATTTTGAGCCCTGCTTCAAAAAACAGGAGGTTTTTCCATAGTCCTGGAAGGGGAAAATCCTCGCAGGGTGCCTGTTCTGCAGCTTCCCTGCTGCCTGGAGAGGGAGACATCCCGCTTGAGGAGGCTGCTTTGTTCGCCTGATTTTCCTTACCCTAGGGAAGCTGAGTCCTATCCCAGGGGGACCACGGGGGTAGGTGCAGGCTGCCCTACTGGCTTGGTTAGGCAACTGCAGAAGCGACAGACCAGCTCGGCTCCAGGCCATGCCTCCAGCACCTGAGAGCATCTGCCAGAGAGGCACCTTCTTCTCTCTCCCTATCTTTTCCACTTGGACTTTTCAGCTCCCTTGATGAAGGCAAGGGAAGGGGAAACCATCCCTTTCAGGGTGCATGCTGCCAGTGGGGCTTGGTGGCTGTGTCCCAGGGCACTGGGAGGGATGCCAGTATGGTGGATGAGATGTCAACCAGCCGTTGTCTGACCTGCTGAGCCCTGGTGACCTGCTTTCCCCCCAGGAAGAGAAATGCCCTGGCACCATCTCAAAGGGGTCACTGGAGCTTTCTCCTTCCTCAGCCCCAAGGCAGCTGGAACATGTGGCACCTGCTGAAGCACTTTAAGAACTGGCAGCACATACAGGGTGGCAGGAAGATCCCTGCAGGTTTGACATTGCTTTGCTCCTGAGCTGTGGTGCGTGGTTCATGCCAGCAACAGCAGGTGGGGAGCAGGGTGAGCTGCTCTGTGCTGGGCTGCCTAATGTCTGCAGGGCTCCTGATTCCCCCTTGGAGCCCCAGCCTCTCCTCCCGCCTTGTTCCCCCAGCAGAGCAGGAGCCGGGGGTGTGAGCCCCAGCCCAGCCTCATCCCATGGGTGAGTCAGGATGGCTGCGGGAAGGGAGAGGTGCAGTCACAGAGGGCGCGGGAGGGCACCCAGCACCGCCCAGATACCTGGGGCTGGCCGGGGGTGCCGGCAGGCGGGGAGCGCTGGCGGGAGCCTCCCCATTTTGCACAATGCAGGAGAATGGGGAATAATCTCTTCCCAGCACCAGCCGGGACGTTCCTTGCCTCCGCTCCTGCCACTGCAGTGGGGAAGGAGATCTGCCGATGAACTGCATCCCA